TATTATGTACTAAAGTTATTTATCACATATGTGTTATATGGTGGTAACTTACTATGGCGAGGGAAGAGACTGACAGTAAGAAAATCAGAGAACTACTTAATAAGCAGAAAACTGTGCACAATGCACTGCATGCACTACAAAAAAATGCTTTTCTTACTTAGATTTTTTAGATTTAGTCTTTTTTCTTGTCCAAATATCTAAAAATTCTTACATCAAGAAGCATTTTTTAGGCAAGTGAAATATATTGTCTTGTTTTCAGAAATAATATGCCAATATTAAGTGAGATTTTCCGTAAAACAAGCAAAATAATCTGCCAATGGGGTGAGCAAAATAATCTTACGTCAGAAGAAAAAACAAGATTATTTTGTTTACCCCATTGGCAGATTATTTTGTTGTTTTAAGCAAAAACTCACTTAATATTGCCATTTTATTTCTTAAAACAAGACAATTTGTTTTGCTTGTCTAGAAAATGCTTCTTAATATAAGAAATTTTGGATATTAAGACTAGAAACAAGACAAAAAATCTAAGCAAGAAAAGCATTTTTTTGCAGTGTGTGGGTTTGCTGGACAGTCTTTTTACTAACAGGTAAGTACAGCAGAACCAAGCTAAGGGTTAAGACAAGGCAAGGCAAACTTTATTTATAGAGCACAATTTAGAGCACTTAGTTAATGAATTCAATTCAATTTAATAGTTGACAAATGTTCCAAATATATTTGTATATATTTACAATTATTTGGTATCACATTATTTTGATGGTGCATTTGAGTATTTGTGGTCTGTCTGCTTAATATCTGCTGATAAACAGACATTTAACAGACTATAAGAACATAAGTACATGTCAACTTACACTAACTAGTTGGCATGTAGATGTAATGCAACTTAAACTCAACAAACAGACCATCAAAATAAAGAGTGACCAAATATTTATATATAATAATCAAATAAAATATAATTAATACATCATATTATTCATTCGCTCATTCATTCCTTTTCTTTCAGCTTAGTCCCTTTACTAATCAGGGGTTGCCTCAGTGGAATGAACCGCCAACTTATCAAGTATATGTTTTGCCCTTCCAGCCGCAACCCAACACTGGGAAACACCCATACACTCATTCACATACATATTCTAATTTAGCTTACCCAATACCCCTATAGCACATTTGTTTGGACTGTGGGGGAAACCAGAGCACCTGGAGAACATGCAAACTCCACACAGGAACGCCAACTGACCCAGCCTGGACTTGAACCAGCAACCTTCTTGCTGTGAGGCAATCGTGCTATCCATGCTTTTTAAAGTGTTTCAGTCAGGTTTCAGGGCTCATCAGTACAGAAACTGCATTAGTGAAAATAACCAATGTCTTAAAGTCTACAGGTGTCCAGGCACAGGCTCTACAATGGTTTAAGTCATACTCAGCTGACTGGTACCAGTGTGTGAATATTAATGGACAGCCTTCACCAGTCAGCCCAGTAAAGTATGGGGTGCCTCAAGGATCAGTTTTAGGCCCTTTACTGTTTACAATATACATGCTACACTGGGAGACATTATTAGAAGACATGGGATCAGCTTTCACTGCTATGCAGATGATACTCAATTATATATTTCCACTAAACCTGACGAGACGTCTGAACTGTCTAAACTAACTGAGTGTATTAGAGATGTTAAAGACTGGAAGACCAACAATTTCCTTCTCTTAAACTCAGACAAAACAGAATTATTACTTATTGGGCCTAAATCCTGTACACAGCAGATCTCGCAACTCAATCTACAATTAGAGGGATACAGAGTTAGCGTTAGCGCTACTATAAAAGATCTGGGTGTCATATTAGACAGCAATCTAACTGTTGAACACCATATATCCCATGTCAGAAAAACTGCCTTCTGTCATCTGAGAAATATCGCTAAATTACGAAGTATGCTCTCCATCTCAGATGCAGAAAGCTAGTCCATGCTTTTATGAGCTCTATGCTGGATTACTGTAATGCTCTGTTCGCTGGCTGTCCAGCATCCTCTATTAACAAACTTCAGCTAGTACAAAATGCAGCAGCCAGAGTTCTGACCAGCTCTAGAAAATATGATCATATCAGCCCAATGTTCTCCTCCTTACACTGGCTGCCTGTTCAGTTTCATATTGAATTTAAAATATTACTCCTCACCTATAAAGCTCTAAATAATCAAGCTCCTGTTTATCTAACCAACCTTCTGTCTCGCTACAATCCAACCCGCTTTTTAAGATCTCAAAACACAGGGCTTCTGGTAGTAAGTAGAATAGCAAAGTCCACTAAAGGAGGTCGAGCCTTCTCCTTTATGGCTCCCTAAACTCTGGAATGGCCTTCCTGATAATGTCAGAGGCTCAGACACACTCTCTCAGTTCAACACTAGATTAAAGACTAAAGATCTAAAGATTTAAAGACTTTAAAATCTTTTTGGTAAATGCAGCACACAGAGGTATGATACATGAGTGTCACCCACGCATCTCGTTTATATACACAACAAACAGCAGCTACGCTAATTATTCTCTTTATTCTCTATTTCCATCTGGAGATACTCATCTCGAGGCCCTCAGAGATTATGCATTCCCACTGATTCGATCCAAGACCAGCGACGAGATGATCCCAAGGTTTCCATAATCCTGGACCAGGCCGTATCCTGAGCTGCTGCTGTGGTGGTCATGCAGGAGTGGAGAGCATG